CAATAACTTCCCGGATGTTGTTGTCATTCTCCACACAAAAAGGAATATCGTCATCAAGGAGTGAATCAAAGAAGTCCATATCTGAAACCACGTAAGAGTGGACCGGTGCATGAGTACAAGAGGGGAATTCTTGCTTGTGGAACGGGACTTCTTCATTATGAACATCATGTAACTCGCCCTCACTCTCTCGGAGCATGTCATCATCTTTTCCCAACTCATCTTCAATACCTAAACCTACCTCAGTAGCTGCATCAACGTCATGACTGATCTTCTTCTTGCCCTCCTCAGGTGTTGAGTCTAATGATAAATCGAACGGCTGGGGGGTTTCTGTATGAAAATCACAATGATTTGTGACTTCATCAGTTACAGCTTGTACCATTTCAAACTTTTTCCTATATTCTTGGAAAAACAACTTGACACTATTATCGTCTTCTTCTTCTTCAAACATAGGTGGGTCTTCAAATGCATCAGGAAGTGTATCATCCACCATATTCCCACCATCAGAGTCTGACTTGCTCACGTGATCATCCATATTTGTCTCCTCAGGTTGGGCTTCTGTGTCGCTAGGATGGGATCTCTCGGACTCCTCAGATATGGCGTTAAACAGTTGATCCAAGTGATTCTGGATGTTCTGAAGTCTTGACTGTGTTAACTGTTGATTTGTCTCAGTTGTTTGCATGAATTGCTTGAGTGTTTCTTCCAGGTCACACAGCTTCTCTGAAATTATCTCTTCCCATTCATCCTGTGGTTCATAGCTCGGCAAAGACGTAGGGGTGACTGAAACATTTGTGTTCGTAAATTGTGGGGAGGAAGAAGTGGGGTAAGCAGTTTCCCGGAAAGGGTGGTCATATAGAGGTTTGATGGGGCAAAGACATAAATGGTGACCTCCTCCACAGAAGGAACAAATGCTACCCTTAAAACATTCAGATATTTCCTCAGGCGTTTTATTTAGAAGCATAAATTCAAGAATGGAGCCTCGTCTTACGCTTACCCAAGGGTATTGTGATGAAGGATAGTAAGAATCAGAATGAAAGGGTTGTGTGGTTGGAGTGTACGGATAAGAAGGCTGAATATTTTGTGGTGTAGGAGAGTAATTTTGATGAGGTGTGTAATATTGAGGAGGATGAGTGTAAGGAGGGTATGGCGTATATGGTGAAAATTCCATGGAGGTTTGGGGAAAAGGACTTCCTCCAGGAATTTGGCTGAATGGGTTCATCTCATGCCACTTTGAAAAAAACCCTGAAAGGTTAGCACAAAAAATCCTACGGAAAACAAAACGAAAACTAACTAAAAAAAATCTCGTTGAAATTAATTAACCCTTAAAACCGACACCGTCCCCGGCAACGGCGCCAAAAACTGATGTGAGTTTTTGGCCGACGGGTGATGGGACAGCTCGCCCAGTCCGAATCACAAAATCCAGTTAGTGAAAGATCAGAAGAGGAACAAAGTAAAATACCCTGACCCGGATGACCTTTAAGATATCGTAAGACTCGAACGACCGCATCCCAATGAGCCTGACGTGGTTGATGCATAAATTGAGAAAGAATATGAACAGAATAAGAGATGTCTGGCCGAGTCAACGTAAGATAGATAAGTTTACCGACAAGTCTGCGATACCGTTCCGGATCAGAAAATAGTGGGCCAGAATCAGATTGTAAACTGTGATTCTGAATCATAGGGAAACCAACTGGCTTGGCCCCGGTCAGTCCTGTTTCAGCCAAGATATCCAAAACATATTTGCGTTGGCATAAGAAAATTCCTGTAGAATTGCGTGCCACTTCCAGTCCCAAAAAATATTTTAACCGGCCCAAATCTTTAATAGGGAAAGAAGATGCCAAGTAATGCTTGAAGGCAACAATCATGTCATGATTATTACCCGTGATAAGCAGATCATCAACATACACCAAAACACATAATATATTATTTCCACGGCGAAGAGTAAACAAGGAGTAGTCGGCATGCGATTGTTCAAAACCATATTGTTTTAAAGAACCTGTCAATTTGGAAAACCAACATCTGGGAGCTTGGCGCAATCCATATAGTGATCGTAAAAGACGACAAACCTGACCGGATGTAGATGCAGAATATCCCGGAGGCAAATGCATGTATACTTCCTCGTGGAGATCACCGTGCAAAAAAGCATTATCGACGTCCATTTGATGGAGCTCCCAGTGGCGAGATGCCGCCACCATCAACAGAGTACGCACGGTTACCATTTTAGCAACTGGAGCGAACGTCTCAGAATAATCAATTCCCTGCACCTGTCTATTGCCACAAACAACCAATCTCGCCTTATAACGATCTATTGTCCCATCAGATTTATATTTTATTTTATAAACCCACTTACAATAGATCGCCCTTTTACCAGGTGGCAATGGAGTAAGCGTCCACGTGCCAGTGCGTTCGAGTGCAGATATCTCGCGCTGCATAGCCTCTCTCCAACGAGGATCACAAACAGCTTCTCGAAATGAACCTGGTTCCTTTGTAGCTGATATGGCTGCAAGAAAGGCACGATGCTCGACCGAAAAGTGAGAATATTGTACATAATGAGATAAGGGATAAGGATTACCTGAGTTTACCGAAGAAGAGGAGCCAACGTTGGGGGAGATGTTATTTTCACTGTATTGAGCTGAATGTCATAGTCGTGATGCCAAGCTGGAGGCCGTCGTACGCGTTTCTGGGGCAGTGAAGATGTTTCTTGACCCGCATGAGATAGGACGTCTTCTGAAGTGGTATTGAATGTAGGATGATCAATCATGCGTGTCACATCATCAGTAGTGGCTCCATGTACAATGTCCATACTTCCTCCAGAATCTTGAGATCGGTCAATGCTCTCACATGTGGGTTGACTTTGTTCCAATAAGGATGGGTTGGCAGCATCATGTAATTCTTCATGCACAACACCAGGATGATCAACACGTGTGCTCTCATATGGAGTATCCATATCATCAGGAGCCTGCCGTATAACCAAATTTTCCACCTGTGTATCATCGGTCTTCCTTGAAGAATAATCTGGAAAATTATCCATAGCAAACGGAAAAATCGTTTCAACGAACGAAACATCGCGTGAAACAAAATGTCGTTTAGTGTCCAAATCAAACACCTTCCAGCCCTTCTGAGAATAAGCATATCCCAAAAATACACACTTGAGTCCACGAGGTGCAAATTTGTCTCCAGTTCTTTCTTTATTATGTGCATAACATAAGCATCCGAAGACCCTTAACTGATTATAGGAAGGCAATTTATTGAACAATAATTCGTAGGGGCTCTTATTGTCCAGTAAAGGAGATGGCAACCGATTGATAAGGTAACCTGCCGTTAGTACACACTCCCCAGAATTGAATGGGTAAGTGTGCATGAAATCGAAGTGTTCTAGCCATATCCAAAATATGTCTATGCTTTCGTTCAACCCTCCCGTTTTGTTGAGGTGTATACACACAAGAGGTTTGAAAAATAATTCCATCATTCAAAAAATAGCCTCTCAATTTTTGAAATTCCAAACCATTATCAGCTCTAACAACTTTCACTTGTTTATTAAACTGTCTTGTTGTCATAGCAATAAAATGTTTAAGAACGTTAAAAACTTCCCCCTTTTCACAAAGCAAATGTATCCAGACAGCACGAGAAAAATCATCAACTATGGTTAAAAAATAACGTGCTCCACTAGTAGCGGGTGTTCTATACGGACCCCATATATCACAGTGAATCAATTCAAATGGCTCAATTGCTCTAGCAGTATTAATCGCAAATACATCACGGGTTTGTTTTCCACGCATGCATGCATCACATATTTTGTTCGAATCAAAAGTAATCGGAGATTTTTGCAAGCCACTAACAAGACGTAACACTGTTTTGGAAGGATGACCCAGCCTTGAATGCCATAGATCACCTAAACGATCACCTTTGATGGAATGAGCTCGTAGCTTGTCAAGACAGTGAAAATAGTATACTCCCCCGCACCGTTTAGCCACTCCAATTGGTATCCTCGTAGATAGGTCCTGTATCACACAAATATCATTAGTAAAATAAACATCACAATTCAAATCATCAATTAACCGTCCCACCGAAATGAGATTACACTTCAAACCCGGTACCAATAAAACATTTTTAATTGATACCCTAGGACTCAATCGTACTTGTCCCACACATGTTGCATGGTTAATATTTCCATCGGGTAGAGTTACTGGAATAGGTGCCAACTTTTCAACCCGGGTCAAAACTTGTGTATTTCCCGTCATGTGATACGACGCACCGGAGTCTAGGAGCCATTCACAATCAGTAATATTCATACCTGTGAGTTTTTCATGATCGGTTGAGAGTCCCTTACAGTTTTCAACAAGTTTCAGAAAGCTCTCCCACTGGTCTTTGGTAAAGCCAGGTGCCATGTTCGACATCTCCTTCGTGTTGTTATGGCCAGTCGTATTTGTCTTCTCGGTCGTTATCCTTGCCGCTTGTGTTTAACGTAAAGAGGATCGTTAAATCACTGCTCTGATACCATGTAAAATCATTCGTAACATAATAAAACGGATATGTGAGAATCGTTCGTTATCATTATCTGTCAGAGGAAACCTCTATATATTACAATTCTACATAACCGTATGGGTTGAACTACCACTATATAGATCCTATAAACTAGGAGGAGATTAAATACAAAATATTAAAACAACATTATTTACAAAAAGTTCCCAACTGGAGTCCACTTCTACGGCTGGATAATGCACATGCAATAATACTCGGTATAATAATATACATCAACAATTACCCTAATAATAGTTAGGACTGAATTAGTCGTCGTCCAGACCCGGTTCACATCTGCTCTACTTACAATGTTACCCAGTTAGACTCGTGAAATTGCTTTACAACAATAATAATAGCAAATAGTGGTAGTTATAATAGTAATAATATTATTTATTTCTTACCTGAAAAAAGTAACACAAAATACACTTCGTCAAGCGGTCAAGGTTGGTATATACGAAGTAACAATTATTCAAAAAAAGGTTAATATATAACAATATAAACTGGATTATATTGCGTAGTAATTAACTTTACAACATGACCACATATTGGAAGCAATATGCTTCAGTTATAACAAAGAAACCAAACACTAATTCTACAAATATTCCAATTTGGAGAGGATAACCATTACAATAAAGCTCTTGCATTTCAAATATGCTGTCCCTTGTATTTACACATATAAATTACTTTTCTAATTACTACATCTGACTTTAGTGTTTAAAGAAGCTTCATCATGAAACTAAATTGAACATCTGAAGAGATCCTTGGTTGAGGCCAGTTAGCTCCATCTGGAACTTTAATGAATTTATACCCCTGACTAGTGTATAGTTTTGTGGCTCCAGGGTTAGTGGCATCACAATGTAATGCAATGGCACGGCATCCCCAGCTACGGGCCTTAGCCTCGGCTTTTGCAATGAGCTTTTTTGCTATGCCCTTCCTACGGAAGCTCTCCCGAACAGCAACATTTGATATGTACGCTATCCCTCTTCTACACATGATTAACATGTTAAACTACTCAAGTATTAGAAGCATGACCTTTTCTCAGGAGGCAATATAACTTATGCAGAGAGAGGCTCAAGTGTGTTTTTGTTTGTGCAAACGTAGTACGTAGTATATTTGTTTCCATTCCCTGTAAGAAAATGTTGTTCATCGTTTTAGTTCACATCGTTTTCTTTTTAATCTATCCCCTGCAAATTTTGACATTCAAATTTTCACAAAACTCCTCTATTAACTCCACTAAGTATTTAGAATTGTAAAACAACTTTATCCTTTATTTTCTTAAAACCCACAGCAGATTTGTATGTATCTTATACATGGGATGGAGGGAGTAAAGAATGGATATATTGAGTTAATGACAAACATATGACTAAAATAATACAAACATATTGAGGACAGGGGCGAAGTCACCATTGTTCAAAAGTGTTCACATGAACACCCAAAAAATTGAAAAAGAGTGTAATACATGAATAAATTTAGTGTAATTATTTATTGTTCTTTAAATTCTAAAGTGTAAAAATATTGAACTACTAAACTGGAAATTCAAAATCCGCCACTGCATGAGGAGATTATTTTAGTAATGTTTTTGGATAAAAAAACCAAATCTATTGCTTTATATAGTAAAACTGAGTTATAAAATGCTGAGGTGTCATTATGTGATTGGTTAATGAATATATTATTTATCAAAAACCTTTGTAGCATTTAATTAATTAGTACTCCGGTAATTCATTACCGGAAAACAAGCAACTAACTTGCTCTTTATTTGGCTTAATTGAATGCACAACAAGAATTTAGGACTCTACTTAATTACCACGAAGTATTACTAATATTAATTTATAGAACACCATAACAAAAAAGAAGTAATCCATTGATATTATACAAGACTAATAATACTTACTTTGTATTTCATTCATTTATAGATCGAACACTGTACAAAAAAACAAGTAATTCATCCATATTCATAAAACTCAGTGATTTCTACAACTAATTTATACAACCACAACGTCACGAACTTATTTATTTCTTCCTATAATCTTCCTTTTAATTTTGTATTTTCTTATCCTTTTATACAAAACAATACATAAATAAAAAACTAAATGATAATCTCTATAGTCAATTTATCAACCTTATTTGTCACCTTTATATCAAATATTTAATTTTTTATTTCACGAGTTGAATTATGTAATAATCAAAATAAATAAAATTCAAATTACTTTTGTAGCTGAATTGACTGAAAGTGCTGAAAATGATCATTTTAGCTATATTTATGTACAATTTTATAAGTTTTTCAAAAATATTACTAAAATAAAACCTAATTACAAGAATATGATTATTAAAGCTACTATGAGTACTATAGTCTAATGGTTACTTAAGTGTAAATTTGAACATAAGTTACTATGACTAAAATGACTACTATAGTCACTACATAAGATGTCACATTTTAACACCCTTTATTTTAGTCCTGAATTATAATTATTTCATAATTTTATCTTTGTTTTACAAATAAAATATGTTTTAAATTTATTTATTTCAAAATTCAATGTATTCAATCAATTCGACTTCAATTTCATCAATTTGAGTAGAACCAGTCAACTCCAAACATTATAAATCACTGGAAAAATGTGCAACAAAACCGCAAAGTGACTGCATTGGGCCACATCAAACCACATTGAGACTGCAACACTATTTTTTTATTATTATGTTCGAATATAAAATTAATTCACACCGTATCGGCCGCAATAACCGCGACAACTGTAAGTACAATTGTAAAACCGTGACATGGACTAAAGTCTATTTGGTAACATTAAAATTGACTGAATCAGATCAATCTGCTAAAATTTATAAAATCACGAGTGAAGTAGTTGAATTGGTTAAATCTGCTGAATTGTGAAACTACCGGGGCATTGCCCCGGGCTCTACACTAGTATATATAGGAAAAGAGAGATACTTGAAAGAGAACAACTATGGATTTTCTAATAAAATATTACTGAAATACGTAGTATAACTTATGGCAAAAATGTGTTTATGTGAGTAAAGTTGGACATATTTGTGATCACTATGTATTAAAAATCACATTTTTGTTCACTATCTCTTTTTTTGTCATATTGATCATTACTTTGCAGTGTATTAGTGTATGTAAGATCACCTTCTCTGCCATGATGGTCCTTTCCGGGGAAGAAAATCAGCGACAGTGTCCACAGTCAATATCCCGGACACATAACCTTTATCCATGAGACTCATTCCTCCATTAATGCTCCCAATTGTGAATTCTTCATTACTTCTAAATAAGAAGGAACCTTCTTCCTCTGAGCTTCGCTCAGTGACAGCAACTAGACATGTTCTCTCACAGCCATTAGGTATGGAGAATCCAAAAAGCATTCCTATCAGCCTGTCCAACCTTAACACAAAATCTAGAGGAAAAGAGTATTCTGGGAAGAAGGAGCTGCAATGGGTCTCAGCCACTTCCCACCAGTCTTCCAACCTTGCCTCTCTAATAACTATATCAGGTGACACCGCTGGGAAGAGTTCAGCTATTTGACTAGCCCTACAATGACCTAAACAACAAAGCAGAAATAGTGTAATCAGAAGTCTATATTTATTTATTGACACCGACAATGATATGATGTGTTAACATGCTTTCTTTTAGGGCTATTTGGTTGGGGGATTTTGGAGTGGAGGACTAAGTTTTCTTTTATTTATTTGTCTTCTTTTGTACGTTAGATAGTGGGTTTCTCTAAATTTTTGTATCTTCACTTTTTCTTTCAATAATACGATATAAGAATAAATTTTAAATTAAATACTCCGTATCATTCTTCTCGTTCACTTCCCATCAAAATCCTCCAACCAAATAAAGGTTAGATCCATCATCCAAATGAAGTGTCAAACAATAGAACCATTTTGTTTTCCTTCCTCCAACACAAAAAGGCTACTAATTATGTAGTCAAATGAAAATCTAAATGTAGTTTCCTTGTTTCCAAGCCGTGGAAAAATAATGGGTTTTATGGACAAAGGTTAATTGAGAAGTTAGTCAATGTTATAGTACAAATATAGGAAATTTTGATTCTAATAAATTAACTGTTTCCTAGTCTACTCATAACAGTCCTAACTTTCAATTTCTTGAAAACAATCCAGCATTTGTTTGCTTCCTTCTTATAGCAGTCCACCTATTACCATTTTCATGCAGGATTGTGATTATTTGTTACAATAAGTTCACTGTAAAGAAATTTGGACTTTGGAGAGGTTTAGTATTTTCAAGAAAGTGAAAGATGGGACTGTTATGAGCGGAGAAGAAACAGGTTGGGTTATTTCAATCAAAATTTCCATCCAAAAAAAAACATACTCCGTATATGTAATTGTAAAGATACTATTCCCCTAGACATTCTTGGGTAGAAAGCTCAATTCCAGACCAATTGGTATTTCAAGCAGCAAACATCAGCTTTTATGAAATCAGTTGAGGCTACAAATGGATAAAGGCAAAGACTTGGAGAGAATACATGTAGCATACTCTAACTGTTGTTGATCAATGCTAACATCAGAACTTGTATCATCATACAACCATATCGATAAAGGATGACATAATGGAAATATTCCACAAAAGTAAAAACAAAAAGACAATCGAAGTTCATCCATCGGATAACTCCTGTAGAAGATCAAATGTAGCATCTGGTATAACCATGCATGTACACAGAAGATCAAAGTAAAATGTCCCACATTGGAACTGTAAAAAACCATATCCGTAAATATTACTAGTACAATACATATATGTTGTATGTGCTCGGGAAATGATAAGTGCAAATAAACAAGACAAGAAAGGGGCAAAATTGGACCTGATCTGGGGAGAGGGGAGAGAAACCCAGGAGAAGGGTAAGCACTGAAAGTGGGAAAAGAGTGGAATTGGATTTTGTTGAAGCCCAGATTCACAGATAGGTTGAGAGCGAATAAATTGGCAGCAACTGATGATGAAGATGATGATGAAAGAGAGGCAGCTGCACCAACACCTTCTGCTACAAATGGAAAAGCCCACATTTTTGGGACCAATCCGATCCGACTCTGAGTCGATCTTCAGATACACACAGATGCAAACACTATGGTATGCCTCTTTCAGTCTTCCTTGACTTTCTGCCCACAGAGGAAATGGCCAAAAGTGGTAGAGAAAGACAACACAAAACTACTACGTAGAATGTACTCGCTGTTGTTCTCCATTAAGTGTCTGTTTGCAACAGCTTCTGCTTTTAAAAAAGTGCTTTTTTAAATGAAATGGGGAAAAGTGATTAAATAAAAGTTGATAGTGTTTGAGAAAAAGTGATTTTGAAAAGTAAAAGTGGGTAGTGTTTGGTAAAATAAGTGCTTTTTGTGTAATAGAAAAAGTAAAAGCACTTTTGACGCGGAAGCCGAGAAAAATAAAAGTTGTAGTATTTGAGAAAATAAGTGCTTTTTTAAAGCCAAAAGCTGAGAAGTGCTTTTTTAAAAGCAGTTGCAAACCAACCCTAAGGCGTTAAGGTCTGTATGCTATTAAAAAAGTGCTATTTTTAATGAAATAGGGAGAAGTAATTAAATAAAAGTTGATAGTGTTTGAGAAAAAAGTGATTTTGAAAAATAAAAGTGGGTAGTGTTTGGCAAAATAAGTGCTTTTTGTGTAATAGAAAAAGTAAAAGCATTTTTGACGCGAAAGCCGAGAAAAATAAAAGTTATAGTGTTTGGGAAAATAAGTGCTTTTTTAAAGCCAAAAGCTGGAAAGTGCTTTTTTTAAAATGAGTTGCAAACCAACCCTAAGTTCATGTTTTGACTTCACATTTGACTTTACTGTGGAGCGCACTCTTTTGCATTGTTTGGACACTGTTTGGCACCATTTTGGCACTATTTTGGTGTAAATAATTTGCCAAATAAAGAAATGTTTGAAAGTGAAACTTAATTTTGGTACTGCCCGAAAGGAAAGATTGAACTTGTTTCCGGGACGGAGGGAGTATAAAAATAACCCTAGATGCACAACTTTTGTGTACAGTTATTTATTGTTCACTAAGACCCATTTGGTGATCCCGTTTTTCGGCTTATAGCTTTATCAGTCAACTTTTTTATTAAATACGTAACTTTTGATTTCGCGCATTGATTTGTGTAATAATCAAAATAAGTAAGGAGGAAGTTATTGTAGACTTGTAGAGGACTATTTTAGCTATTTATCATATAAATTTTTCTTTATTTTATAAATAACAATTATTTTAAATATAATTTTTTAATGAATCAATAGAATCAATCACTTCAGCCAGAACTTCATAAATTTCAATAGAATCAACTGATTCAACCAATTTCAATGTTACCAAACAGGTCCTAAATATAAATATATACTTCATGTAGAAATATAATTAATAAATGTTCAATTATTATTATTATTATTATTAGTAAGATAAGAATATGAAGGTAAATGAGTCAAAATGGGTACCTAGAAAAATAAACGTGCATACATTCTTTTGATAGTATTACCATTCTTTCATCAAAAGTTTACTCTAGAGCTAATAAGCGTAAAAAGTTTAATTGTGTAGGATGTTGTAGAGAAAAGATTAAAATGTGGAACCATTTCTTTGAGCTTACAAATGACTGAATGAGTCAAATTATTTGAGTTTGAAATCTTGATTTTTTTAACTGATGCATAATAATTGCTTCTATCACATAAGACATATAAAAAGTATACATCATCAAAATATATGGTTAGGGAGCTCCATTTGACTTGAATTGAGTTTAATGGCAAGTTCAAATTTGAATTTAATGGCAAGTTCAATAGCTCCATTGCTTCTATCACATAAGACATATAAAAAGTATACATCATCAAAATCATGTTTGAAATATGTTCAAATCAAATTTATTTGTGTCGCGCCTGAGTCCGCCTCTATTAGAAAAACATCACAATCGACACCCAATGACATACTAGTATATAGCTAATGATAGTTTGTAATATACTTCGTACATCGTACAAGACTACAAGTATACTCATTGACGTTAAGTGTTAGATTGTTAACATACAAGTTGCATACATACATAATGTTACATATGAATAGTTGATTTTGACAGAGATATACCCATTGACAACGCTAGAGGTGTAATATCAACATACACTTTGTTTATCCATTTTAAAAATAATCTAATTTTACATATAGTCAATGTTTTGTCACACACTATTAGTGCTTTCCCTAGACAATTATTGTTTATTACGTAAACCAATTTTCAAGCACACAACACAGATGTATGTGTACATTCTATTGACGAGCGCGCAAGCTAATATTTATGCACACGCAAATCAATGTCTGTTTACAAACAACAATTGATTACATAAACAATACTCCGTATAATTTATGGATTTTCATAATATTTTCTTCACAAACATGAGTTCACAATACACACGCAAACTAATATGTAGTACTACCTCCGTCCCCCTAATATTGGGACGAAAGGAAGTGGTGTGGATTTTAAGAAAAGTAGAATTATGTTGTTGATAATGAATTGATAAAATGAGAATAAAGTAAGAATGAATTAGAGTCACACAAATGTTACTAAATATGGTATGAGACAATAATAAGGGGACATCCAAAAATGAAAAAATATGACAATTATAGAGGAACGGAGGGAGTATATGTTAACGAGAATACAAGTTGTCTATAATCTAACTCCATAGACAATAATTGTCTAGTGACTCAGATTCATTGTGCGCAAAAAATATACCCCAATTTGTACAAATGTTTAACCTTAACGATCTATACTCATTGGCTTGAAACATGAAGAACGGTATACCTCTTCTACATGTCGGCTTTATCAAATGCATACTCTTACAAGTTACTTGTGTGTAACATCACTTTTACCCTCAAAATTTACTTAAAAATCACTTGTGGGGTGGCATTACTTGATTAGCACTTTTTTGGGATGAAATAAAAATCTTTGAAAAACATAAATACTCCTTGTTGCTTTTTCATGTCCCAAATGCAGACTAAAAACTCTTTCCTTCACTAGTCGAAATAAAAACTACATACTATTTCCTTTAAACTTATGTAAAATCATGTTGTACATGTTTGCTATGAACTGTAAGCAATGAACACTAAAATTTCTCTATATCACAAGAAAACTATACAAATGTCATTTTCTTGCATGCCCTCTTCCCCTGGAAAACCAGAGAATACGAACCTGCCATTCTGAACACTACAAAGAAACAGATAAACCATTGAAGAAAGCCAAGGTGTAGGGTGAGGTGGACTTTCCGAACAGAGAACACCAAGAAGGAAGCTTCTTCAGAATTTCTGCATTTTGTGGTGTCTGTCTGTCCACATCAGTTCTCAGTTTCAATAACGCATGTTCCTCTTCAGACCCCTCATTGGTTCTTGTGTGAGAGCGGGTTTTGTGCCAAAAAAGAGTCAATGTGAACTTTGTAGGCGCTTTCTTCCCTCCCGAAAATTGAATGGTGTGCCAACCATCTGTACTGCTAGTCTTACCCCCAAGTGACACCAACTCCTCAGAATCATCTGCATCACAAACACAAAACCATAATACCATATACTAACATACTAAGACTAAATATTAAGACTAATAGTGGGCAGCCCCCGGGGACAAATTCAGGGCTGTTCGGGCAGTCTACTGCACGCTCTCAGTTCACTCGACTTCCGCCGAAAGAGTTAGAATCTTTACATGTGCTCAGGGGACAAAGCCAAAAGTTCAAAGTTCAGGAAATTTGAGTTCGGGGTGAAGCAACAACAACAACATTAGCCCAGTGCCACAAAGGCTCCCACCTATGGTGAGGTAAGGGGGGTCGGATGTACGCAGTCTTACCCCCTGTATTAAAGCACAGAGAGACTGTTTCCGGATGACCCATGATGAAAATCGCATCGAAAATTGCAGACTGACTGCTCCTTCATAAGAAAGAAGTGCAAATAGTTTAGTGAGTCATTTTGCTTGTAAAGCCCCCTAATCTACCAGATCTTGCTTGTTTGAATTCGAAGGGTTCTACCGTTCTACCGAGATATGAAGACTCACATTCCATCCAAAAAGGTCATTACTATTGAATTATTGATTAAAAGGAAAAAACTCAAAATCTTGTATGTTGGTTTATCGATCTCTATATATTCGAGTTATCCATTATCACTACAAAAGTTTGGAGTTGCAACTTAAAAGGGAGCAGGGACTAGATGAAGCTTGTACCTTTCAGCTGGAAGTCTTGTACTTCGTCAGTGTTAATTCCCAGGCTCCAACGAGTGGAACTTTTTGTATCCACTACAACACGAGTAACTCTGCTACTATTCCCCTTCACATCACTCTCGGCACGAAGCAAGGGAATATCTGATTCCTTCCACCCAATTTTGGCATTTTTTACTGTGTAACAGCTGTACTTGACTGAGAAAGTTACAAAATCAAAAGGCTTATTCCTACCACATATAAACCCTTCTCCAATCTCTTCAGCCTCTTTATTCAAGTTTCCCGGAGTTGTTGAAAATAGGGATATGTGTGACACTGGATCTTCCTTTCCTGTTGCATCCACAACATGCACAACCTGCAAACAAGTAAGCATATGCTGTCTGTTTAAAAACTAAGAACAACAATCTGTTAAACTATTATATATACTTCCTCCGTCCCACATTGATTTGCAATTTGCAATTTTTAAGGTTGAATGAAGATAAAGTTAAATCTTATTTGCTAATGTTTAATCAAGTTTGTTAGTTCTTGATCAGATCTTTAACATTGATTTGCAGGCAAGTTGACACACACACACCATATGCCTCATTGCACAATGCAATTTTAAAAGTGCCACATACACAATTCCGAACCTTATTGTTTTCCATATCAGTTTTTGAGGATCAACTTACATTAACTGCTCTTGCAGTGTCTTGGGTAAATGGTGGAACAACTCCTACAATCACCATGCCAAGTGAGATGCCAAACAGTATACACGACGTAACTATAATGGGAGCTTTTGCACCTGAAAAAGAGTCCAATATATGCTAACTTTCTCTTTTTCCTTTTGACCGTATAGATGGGATCTGCTAGGTTGGGTGATGGTGAAGAACGCATACCTGAAATATGAGTATATGACAGGAGATACACCATTGTTAAACATACTATAGCTGCAATAAATAATGCAAGAATTGCATTCCCCTGCCATTCGGGC